GAGAGCGCGTAATTTTATATTTCGAAGACAGGGAAGGAGGCTAATTGGGTCTCTCTGGAGGTTGGCTGGATGGGCCTCATTGACCACACAACACACAGGCACAGCAAAATCCCTTGTGGTCTTTTGCTGGCTTTTTCCTTTTTTAAGGTTGCGAAAAGACTCAAAAGTCCGAAGAGAGACCGTTACAATAATGCACATGTTCTTATTTATAGGTATCTATTAACCATTTCAATTTCAATTTCCCAGTCAGAAATTTAGAAAAAAGGGCGGCTGAGGTGTCATCGTGTCAACAAAGGAAGATGCTTCCTTTATGATCCGAATCTCCAATGCGCTGTCATTTTAATGAACACTCTTCTGCGTTACATATCCTTATTATACTTCACTCTCATTTGTTTGCTAATTCCACGCCTCAATCTATGTTTTCTTACTTCCCTTGTTTGGTTGCGGAGAAATTCAGAGATAAAAAGAAGGAAATTTCGTAATTGATTTTGTTTCATAGGTACGGTTCTTCATCTACATAATTCGTACATAAGACATCATCAAGTGGAGGTATCTACCACTAAAGTATGGCTAGTTAATAGTAATTAATTTGGTTTGGTTGCGGAAAAAAATTAACTTCATTATGTCGCCCGTTAATGCAGTAGATAGAAAACTTAGTTATGACACTTCAGCTATCAAATTTATGACATCAAGTGTAACGGTAATGTTCTTTAACTACTTGAACTATAAGTTCTTTATCCAACAAGAGGCGATTCCAAATTTGTTTCTTTTAGTTTTGAACTAGTGGATCTCCACAAGTAAAAGAAATTAGAAAAGTGCCGTGACTCAAAAGAACGTACCTGGACATGACAAGATGCGTAAGATACTACAAGAATTTCGACCAGAAAAAAAATATGCTACAAGAATATTCCATTTGCATTTGAATAAATGCATATCTGATGAATTATATTCTTTATAAATTATATAGCAACTTAATTATTGATCAGACCAGATTTCATTTTTATGGGACCACAAAACAAACGGCATATGATTGTTGGGTAACACCATCATCTTGTTCTTGTGGTCACATGGTGATGGTGGGTTACGACTTACAAGTACAACTTCATCATATAAAAGTTATGTTTCTCGTGCATCTTCTTCAGCAACCAGGGATGGATGAGTGGTTGACTTTCGGAGCAAAATCCAGGGATGGATGAGTGACAACGTCTGATACCAACCTTCCACATATAAATAAGGACCGCATACATACATATATAAAATTCAGCTTCAAATCAAATCACCTGCTTTCACTTCTTCGCCACTTAATATTGAGGTTAATTATTATTCTTTTGATACAAGCGTTGTTGAAGGAGGGGAATTTGAATACAGAATTTCAGGTGTATGGGCAACTGCAAACTACTTAAACAACAAGTCTCTTGCGTATCGAGATTCATTATTAAGAGGGTGGAAATTGTGGAGCCAGTGGTATAAAAACTGGCTGTCAATGGGCTGGTTACCTTAATATGCCAAGGAAAGGCAGCTGGGAGAGGGACCTATAAATAAACAGTGTTGCCAGCTTTGGAGCCGATGAACCATGTTGATGGATACATAATTAACGCGGGAAGGAACAATTTTTTATTTTATTTTCTGAGATAATGAATGACGTGGAAAGTGCAGTTCCTTTATCACACGCATCATATAACAATGAAGCCTCAGAAAATGACTTTGAAAAAGGAAGAATTCAAATCGGCTTTGCCAATGCCAAGGATGGGCAAAGATCAAAGAAAAATGAAATGCACGAAGAATCAAAGAAAAATGGGCACCCTTTCAAACCACATAACGTATGCTCCAAACCAACTATATATGTGATTCCGCCCCTTTGCATTCAAGTTGGCTAGGCCAATGAGCATGCCTCTTGTACCCAAATTCGAGTCCCCTTCCCACTATTGCTTGTATTAAAAAAACACATTTTTTTGATATGTAGAGCCTACACTTAGCTATCAATACTGCAATCAGCAATGCAAAGCAAACCGTACTTCCATATAATCTTACACTAACATGAGAATACCAAGCTCACAAATAAGAGGAAAATGGACGTGTTTTTTTTTATAATGGTAAGTTGCAGGAAAGATGACAGCAGCAGTTTCATAACACAGCATCGACAATGATTAGTTGCTGTCTCTAAGTTTACTTCCAAATATTAGTAATAGCATCCGCATATATCAGTCGTACGAACTGTGATGAGAACAATTTAATGAAAATCAAAATTGTAAACCTACTCTCTGTTTTAGATAAAGCTCAAAAAAGTGCTAATATAGCTTACAATGTTTATGATGAAAGGGCATTATCCTATTTTAATGGACTAATTTAAATGAAAAAATGTGGGGCAACAAAATCAGTGAAGTGTCTACAGAATCTCACTCAAGTTCGCCAGTCTGCTCATTAACCACATGACCATCTTTCTCATTATTGTTTCCCGTTAAGTGATGAAGAAGCACACCAGCTGCAACGCTGACATTTAAGCTCTCCACAGCCAAAAATGATCGGAACTCTTCAGCTGAGCACCCATGACTCACTTCCCCAGTTTCAATATCATCAGCTCCACCAGCACTTACATCCACAGGAATATTTCCAGGGATTCTAATCAAGTCAGTGCAAGATTTTTCCACCAAAGGCCTCAACCCGGTGCCCTCACTGCCCAGAACAAGAATTGTTGGCACACTATGCACAACCTCATTCAATGGTATAGCTCTGGAAGAAACAGAACCTCCAAGAACTCGCCAACCATTTTCAGCCGAGGATGTTAGGAATTGCATCATATTCTTGCAGTATCTCAACTCCATTAGCTCAAGTGAGCCTGCACTTGCTTTGCTCACAACACCACTAAGCGGGGCTGAATTCTTGGCGCATAACACCACCCCTGAAGCTCCAAAGAAGTAAGAAGACCTGATGATTGCCCCCAAATTCTGAGGATCTGTAACCTCATCCAAAGCAACCCAAAGAGAACACTTATCTTCCTCAACTGAAACAGGGTCCAATTCCTTAATTTTTACCATCTCCAATGGAGAAGCATCAAGCACGAGACCCTGATGAGGTCGATTATCAGTAGCCATATTAAGATCATGCTTGGACACATCCTTTACACTTAATCCAAGCTTATCAGCCATTATCAAAATTCTCTCAAATCCCTTCTTGTCCTTCTTCTTCCTATTATTTTTGCTCAAATCCAACCCTTCTTGAATATACAATGCATAAAATTCTCTTCTTCCAGCCGACAAAGCAGCCAAAACTGGACCAACCCCATAAACACCTTGGCCAATCATCCTAGGCACAGACGATTCTGTAGCCTCTTTCCATGTCTTCTTACCCCAATCTTCCTGCCTATTCCACCTTCGAAACTCAGGTCTGTCACGTCCAGATTTAACATCTTCCATTCCCCTGAACTTGTTTTGAATACGATCCCACCTTGGATCATCAACAGCCTCCATTTCTTCTTCTTTTTCATCTCCTTCTGTCTTGGCTTCCTCCAATCTTTTCTCCCTCCCGCGGTAATCACTTTGCCGGTCATGTGCCATACTTACCATGCCAGTTCTACTTTCTTTTCTCCCCCGTTCTGATGGGCCACTTCTCCTAACATAAGTTTCCGCTGACACCTCCCAAGAAGAACGACCAGCTTTCAACTTTGGTGCTTCCTCTAAACTCTTTGCTGATTTGTCCCAAGAGGACTTACTACTGTCTCCATCCAAGCTCCTTGCTGATTCTCCCCAAGAAGCATTATCATTAACTTCCTCTAACCTCTTAGCAGATTCCTCCCAAGAAGAAATAGATGTCTTAGCAGTAGTTGCTTTCTCCAATCCTTTTGCTCCCTTAGTTTTGTTTGCCGGCAACCACGGGAGTCTTTTACCAGCTCTTGCCACACTGCTCCCTCCATTAACTTTCTGACCAGACCAACTCGAAAAGGCTCTACCTCTTATCAAAAGCCAATTCTGTGTGGCATTTTTAAGCCTGAATCCGCTAGAGACGCTTCTGGGTTTTGCAAGAACGCCACTTTCTAGGATCTTACAACAGGAATCGGTTGAAAAATGAACCAAATGGGACATCCCATACATTTTCTGACCAGACCCACATGAGGGTTTAGTGAGCTTCCCCCAAGTAAGGTTTAGAGGGGGTTTTGGAAGAGAACCAATTTGTAAAGATTGGGGCTTTGAGGTGTTGAATGGTTTAGAGCATCTGGGTCTTGAACAAATCCTTAAAGCCAAGGGAAATGCTTGGCCCCTTGTTAAATTTGTGGACATTATTGTATTCACTTAACTTCAAAATCAGAAAACTGAATTCGAAGGCATAAAACAGGTTGCAGAGAAACAACAAAACTTTAATCAAAAGCAATATCTGAAGAAAGTAAAGGGCTTTTGATTCTCTGTGTACCTTATCCACAGTCCATGCCTCATAGTATAGCTAAGCTGCTCCACTCCGAAGCTTATTGAGGAAGATGAATGAGCATTAGACCGACGGCCGATGGCGGGGAGGTTAAAACGACAACCTTGGAAGATAAGATACTCTATTCTTTTAACGACGTCGTTGCCCTAGGACATCCGAGTTGAACCAACCCGTGTGCCGACCCGACTGACTTAGGTTTGAGTTAAGTGACTGAAATACCCTTTCCATGCTTCTTCGTACCTTCTTTGATTGGATGCCACGTGCCTTCTCCGAAGAAGACCCTACAAATCATGATTTGATATACGTGAAAAAATAATTTATTAAAAATACGAAAGGATAAATTTCTGCATACATGTCATATTGTCACTGATAGAAATGAAGGAGCTCTTGTTTATAAGAGAATGAGTGAAGTATTTTCCTTGCTGATTTATTGTTTGATTATTTTTGGAGGTTTATTTAGCAACTAGCATTTGTTCTTGTGGATTAATGTCTTCACTTAGTTGGAGAATGTTTCAGGTTCAGCTAGCGTGAATGGAGCAGACGACGATATATATATATATTTGTGATGAGATCATTTTACTTCCTTTTTTTCCCATGTTTAATTTGTTAGAATAAAAACAAATTTAGTTTAGTTTTTCAAATATATTACTAAATTAGAAATATGCAAGAGAAAAAGTGTAATTAATGTTTAGCTTGGTACACTACAATATTTTTCTTTGAATTTACTTGACTTGACCGATGAATTCAAAAACTGATTGAGAGTTGGATTAAAGGCATTGTATCTAAAATCTTACAGCAATAAATTTTACAGACAAAACCTCTTCAAAACCCAACAAAATTCATAAAGGAAATCATCCCTATTTTCTTAGAGTTGGTGGATGATGCAGAATGGTTGTTGGTTGTCTTGAATGGTCTTCGTCCTGAATTTAAAGGCGAAAAACAGAAAAAAAACAAAAACAATTAATGTAGCAATAAAAATGTGGTAAGCCGCACAGATACTAATAATAACTATAATAACTGATTAAACCAACCATAAAAAAAGTATCAGACGATGATGGACGACGATGACCTAGGCAAAATAATGGCCTTGAGAGGGTTCTTCATAACAACAGTGAAAGCAAATGTCTCAGTAGGGTCGGGTGGGGCATCCGGAACCGGCAACCATTTGAAAGCCTGCACCATCCGAGCAAGCAGCAAGTTTACATGCAAAGTGCCCAAAGTCCACGCCGGGCATATCCTCCTGCCCGCTCCAAACGGTACCATCTTCACTCCTTTGGTCCCGGTAACGTCCACGTCAACCCCGTCGCCCTCCAAGAACCTCTCGGGTCGGAACTCCCCCGGATCCTCCCACAGATCCGGATCCTCAGTGACCCATGCAGTGTAAAACTCCACACTTGCATCCGCCGGGACGGTGTACCCGCCGAGCTCCGTCTCCTTCACCGCCGCGTGCGACAGGACGAAGTGGCTTGGCGGGTGTCTCCGAAACGTTTCCTTAACCACCGCAGAAAGATAGCTCATTTTTTCAACGTCACTTTCAGTCACCTCCTCCTTC